GTTCATGCCCACGTTTGCCCATTTCAGACCCTCACTGCCTAGGGCCTAGATCTAATCATTCCTCCTCTGATAAAACCCTCCCGTCAATTTTTCTCTCACATCACCCGTTTTGCATACATGTTTGCTCGCTTTATGCATACACTCCCTCCTCCCCATTGACAGACGACAAGGTCACCACACATCTCTGCAGTTACGTGATGGTAGCCTGTGTGCTAATCTTCTGCGGAGGCCTCACCTGGGAATGCCTTGGATGGAAGAGCCTCCCTTATAGATAACAATGCCTGGAGGTAAGATTCAGCATGTTGGGCTGGGTAAACCAAAGACCAGGACCTGTCTTCTACACCATTTCTGTCCTCTGAAAAATGCAGTGTTCATGGCCCTCAAAATGTGGATATAAGAATGCTGCATGCAACACTGAAATTCCCGCAGTTGTATGAGCATGGCCTCTGAAGCCACATACCCAAAGCAGAATCCCTTCTGCTAATCACAGCAAGTGGCTTCAGCTCTCTGTGGCTCTGTTTCCTCATCTGTAAATGAAGAAGCCTAAGATGTAAGTTGACAGGGTTGCTGGGAGGACTCAGGACTCGCACGTAGAGAACAGGATATGGTGTGTGCTTGGTAAACCGTGGCTGCCGTGACCATGACTCAACCACTCTCCACAGAGTTCTTACCCCAACTACCATCACTCTCTCTCTCTAAATGGAAGCTTTGTCTTTAGGTGAACTTACTTTAGAAGAGTTTGATCTGAACTAAATACTAATTTTCCCTTTGACCTGATGTGCTGGAAGGAAGAGACATTTTGGAACCCACCCACCTCAAAGTGCAGAAGCGCCAAAGAACTTGCATGTTATGTCCCCAGCCCCATGTGACCCAGACACTGCCCCTTGTTTCCTTTTGATGCTGTGAATGAACAGAAACCAAAATCCTGCTGAAAGAAAGGAAAAGGAAGTGATTACAGAAAACGCATCTCTACCAGGCACCCCTGCCAGCTGCCACTGCCCTGATGGCGGCCAGGCCTGGCAGCTCTGCCTGCTGTGGGTGACATGGACGTCTGTGGGTGGAGGGGTACTTAGGACTTATGATTTCACAGGTTGGAAGGGCTGGGCTGTGCTCTCTCAAACCTGACTCCCCCAATGGAATTCCTGGGTTGTTTTAAGACGTGGATCCCCAGATGACATGGTGGAGATTGATCTGTCCTGGAGCACCAGCACCCATCCTTCAGCCTATGGGACATRTGGATCCAGGATCCGCACCTGGATAGGTAGGCTGGCCCCAGAACCTTCACTCTGTAACTGTTGTACTCACTGCCCAACAAGTCGATGCAAATAAAGGGTTTCCTGTTCAAGCATGTTGGGAGGAGTGCTACTTAAGGTAAACACATTCAAATATTTTCAGGATTTCAAAGACGAATGTGCATTTCTGTACGCCTGTCTGCAGCTGTCTTCTCTGTCTTCTCCCAAAGACCAACCTTTCCACTGTCTTGCTTTTTTGCTGACTTCCCTCTTTAGGAACTAACTCTCTCCTTCATCATTAATTTTGCCCCTTTCATTGGGTCATTTTAGCAGCATACAAACGTGCTCTAAGAGTTCACACCTTCAAGACCCTCTCCTTGGCCCCCATCCCTGGTTTCTCTGCTCCATTCCTACCAGGACTTGTTGAAAGACGTGCCTGTGCACTTCTTACCTTCCTCACCCTCATTCCGTCTCATGTCTTTTCAGCTTCTGAGCTCCCTGCATCTACTTCTGTCCCCATTCATCCACTCTCCCTTCAATGGCCAAAAGCATCTTGTTAAAATGAAAGCCAATTCATGTCAGTTGATTCTTGTTCTATCTCCCTTAGAACAAGAATAACTTCTTACATGTGTCATGGGCTCATGCGGTGTGGYCCCTGCTTGGTTCTATCCACACTGCCTCTTTCTATCTGTATTAGTCAGTTTTGCCTCACTGTAACAAAATACCTGAGATAATAAACTTTATAAAGTTTTATTTTGGCTCACAATTTTGGAGGCTTCAGTCCATGATCCTATCTATTGTTCTTGTTGTTTGGGGCCTGTGGTGAGGCAGCCTATGGCCAGGAAGGGGGGAAAAAAGGAAAAGTATGGGTCTGAGTCCCACAGTTCCCTTCAGGGGCACACCCCTAGTAATAATTCCCATGAACAAAGCTCCATTTCCTAAAGACTCCACCATCTCCCAATAGGACCAAGCTGGGGACCAAATCTTTAGCACATGGGCCTTTGGGGGCCTCCCAAGATCCATCCTAAGCTCTTCTGGCRCTGTCACCTGTACTTCCATAGCTCCTCTTATGATGGCAGCACTTTTGCATGGCTGGGCTCATCCTTGAGTTCTCAGTTCACATGTCACCTTAGAGAGGACTTCCTGACCCACCTGTCCAACATAGCATCCTGGGATCGTCTTATTCCAGAGCATGTGTTACAATCCACATGTATCTTATTTGTGTTTTGCTTACTTCCCTGTGGTCTTATTCCACTAGAATGTGAGTTCTGTAAAAGCCATGAACTCATGGTCTTGTTCCCTCAACCTGCACACAGAGGAAGAGCCTTGTGGCGGTCTAGTGGACATCATGTGTCAGGGAGGAAAACTTTCTTGAAGCATGAGGCTAACATCAGCATATCTCACCCCCCCCATGACCAGATCCCTGCTTCCTTCTCTAGCCCTCCATCCCCCACTTTCTCACCCTGTGTGTGCTCACAAACACTTTCCATTACGCCTTTGCCTAGGTGATTCCCATTTTTGTTACAAACCTGAGTTCAGGTGTCAACATCCATCCGTTAGAGTTCTCATCTGGCCTCCTGTGCACAGCCTCCACTGAAGCATGTTTAATACTCTATCAAGCCAGCATCTTTTTGACCTGGACTAATGGTTAAGAATGCAGGCCCTGACATCAGCCTCAAAAAAAGACAGTTAAAACAAGGGATTCCCCCTTTCTGTCTATATCATTAAAATTGTATTCTAACTTTAAGTCAGATTTTTAACCTGTTTCTTTTCCATGTAGGACTTCTTCTATAATTTCCAGGACTTTTTTTTCTTTAAAGTCAAACACAAATTTTAAAATTCCTTTGAGGCAATCAATGAGCAGCAGACTCTTAAGGTTTTTCTTTTTTAATCAATTACCCAATATTGTATGGTTGATTCATTTATACTCGATTTGACAAGATTTATTTTAGCAACTTGTCTTTGCTGTATCTTCCTAAAACATTCTGTTAGATTTCCCTATTTTATTTCACAACTCGTTGGTTTACTTAATCTTAAATTCTGTCATGACTGGTGGTACAACAGGAACTACAGGTTTGGGAACAGGTTGAGTAAATGTAACTCATTTGGGGARAGCAGAAGGGGATAGGTGTGGAGGTCCCAGGCCAGAGCCCTCATCTTGGGTCAGCCTCGGAGACTCAATGTGCTTTATACTCAGAAATCTGTTATTTTCTAGACAGAGATTGGCAGGCAGAACTGAAGAGTGCCAATTAATTTTCAAACAAAAGTTGTACCTGCAGATCCCAGTGAGGCCAGCAGGTGGCAGACATGGCTCACAAGCTGCCATCCCCTATAAGGGATTTGGCAGGAGGCTGAGCCTTTTCTGGGATTAGTGGATGAGACCAGACAGTCCTTCATCTTGCAAAACCCACATGAGCTTTCATCTCCTCTACAAATTTGACAGCTTACGATATTTTCCTTTGCAGGTTAAAGCAATTCCTGGATCATGGTGAGAGAACTCAATACCATCACAAAAACACACTGGTGTTCCCACTACCTTCTCCAAGCCTCAGTTTTCCCTCTGAATAGGATGGAAGGGGACAATTCCCATCTTACTGAGTTGTGGGGAATAAGTTGCCCCAATCTTTTCTCTTTTTCCTAAATACAAGGGGGAGGYAGTATTTTACCTTTGGGGGAATCATTAGTTCCCTGGCATGTGGCTGGCCACARCAGTGCTCCTAAACTTAGAATGTCTCCACTGACCCTTCCAGAGTGCCCAGCAGTGCTMTAACCTTGCCCGCTGATCTGCTTTGGCAGGTGTCCTGGTTGTTGAGGCCTCTAGTAAGTTGCAGGGATAGTCAGCTGGCCTGCCTCACCACCAGGGAGTGACCCAGCTCTGGACTCATCCTATAGGCTGGCACTTCACGGTGGTCAACGGATGATACTTCCTGGGAGCATCGTGATCCTGGCATCACGTGATCCATGGCTCACTCTAACTGGCCAGGCTAGGCCTGACTCCAGGTAGATGGGTGTTTGGGTGTGAATGAGTTCTCCAGGGGTCAGAAACTGGGGCACTTTGGTGACTACCACTCTCCCCCCAAACCACAGCAGTTTACTGCTTGGGAGTAGAGAGGCCACATGTGTGGGCACGGTGTGAGGGGGAGCAGGTGCACTATGAGCAAACATGGCAGAACTGACTCTGCTCCACTTGAGGCTTGTCCCTAGGCCGGGCTGGCTGTGTTCAGATGGGAGAGGGGGCTCTCTTGAGGGATGAAGTCTTGAGATCTCAGAATAAACGAGAGGAGGGTTTGTGGGCATGGAAGGCACAGGGTCGGCACTTGCTTGCAGGGACTCTGGAAGGAAGATGGCACCTGGGCCCCATCTGAGGGGGCGCCAATACATGCTATGCAGCCCTGTACCAAAATCAGCCACCTGGGGTACCACTCCTGTTCTCCAGCTCATAGGCTCTAGCCCTGGAACAAAACTGGAGACCTGGAAAGAAAATCAGGTTATAGTKGGGGGCTCAGGGACCTCCCCAGGCAGAAAGCAGCTGCAGAGCCCAAGGCAGGGATGGAGGAAAGGGGGCTGGTCTTGAGCACTGGATGCAATTAAAACCCAGATTTGCATAAATCCAGTTTCCCTAACAACAATGTGGAGCCCTCAGGGGGCTCCCAACCCTGCTAGAAAGAGAACTTGGTCAACCCCTGTGGCACGGACATGAAGAATGGWTCAGGTAAGGCATCAGGCTTTCAGAGCAAATTTAATAAAGAATGTCAAGTGTTCCTGGTGGCTGCTCGCTCCTGAGGGCCATCTGTTTGGGTGGCCATGGGGGACTCTTCCTGGGTGAAAGGCTAAATGCTGCTCTGTGGCAGGCACTGTCCCCTCTGACACCCATCAGGACCCGCACAATAAAAGCAGCACCCGGATCCCACCTGGGGTGTGTGGGGTCCCAACAGTCCCCATCGGGGTGTCAGGGTCTTTCTCTCCAGCTGGTTCCAGAGCACCTGGCCCTGCCAACAGCCTGGTCTGAGCGAGAGGCTTCTGGCTCCTCCTGTGGCCTGTGCCAGCTCTGCTGAGGGGAGAGTGGAGCAGGTGCCAAGTGGGCTCTTCCGTTCTCTCACTTTGGGGATCTGGCACCTTTGACTCCAACAGTCAAGCTTCCCAGGGTAGAAAAAAACTCCTCCATCTCCTTCTGCAGCAGCTGGTTCCTCCTCTCTGCATCCTCCCGGGCCCGCTCAGAGTTCCTCAGCTTGATTTCCAGCATGGTGTACTTCTTCTTCTCCTGGTCCAGCTCTTCTTCTAACCGTGACAGCTGTTTCCTCAGGTCAGCACTGTTGGCTTCCACGCTTAAAAAGAATCAAGAAAAGATCTCTCAGACTCTGACTTGCTGGGTTTTACCCAACAGCACCATCTCGAAAGGGGCAGCCACGGCCAAATCGGGCAAGGTCCTTGAGGGGGGACATCACAAGACCTGGCACTCTGCCAGAGAGCCAACCGGGTCGGTATGAGGATTCATGCCTTCAGCACGGGGGGCATGGGGCCACCATGAGTCCCCACGAAAATAAAAGGACTCTTGCCCATGTAGCCCCGTCACTTGTCCCACTGAGGGCTGCCTGCCCTGGCTGAGAGCAGCTCTGGACCCTGTAAGAAGGGAGGGGAGAGCCCCAACTGTCCCTTGGTCTTTGTTCCTATGTCCCTCTCCTTCCTGCTGCTCCAACACCACCTAGCACTCCAGCCGTTGACACTGACAGGAAGTTCCTACCTGCCCTTCATGTCCCAGCTCAAGTGTCCCCCTGGGTGCTGCTTCCTTAGTGACCCTCCCTGTAGGTCCTGGCGGTGCTCCTTGGTGCGCCACAGATCCTCCAAGGTGGTCTACACCACATTCTGCAAAAGTTGGCACCTCCATCTTTTTGGCCTGCTCCTGTCCACCCTGAGATACTCCTGGGACTTGCACACTGGGGCCTGGGGGATATAAGCCCCATGGTGGTGGGTGAGCTAAGAGTACACTGAGCCCCCAACATGTTCCTCTGAAATACAGCGGGTGAGCCCGTCCCAAGACACTAYAGTCACCAGACAGGGGGGACAGTGCATGCCCAGCACAGCACCTGGAAGATGGCAGATGTGGAGGAAACATCAGTTCCCCACCCTGCAAGACAGGGCCCAGGCCTCCATCTGAATCACTGAGCCGAAGTTTGGAAAGAGGAAACCACCCTTCACAGGAGCAAGGACAGGCGGTCAGAAAGCAGATCTCACTTGCTTCTCCTTGGTCCCAGCCCCTTCTTTGCTGGCATCTCCACATTCCCTGCTGCCCCAGGGCCAGGGGYCTCCCCTCTTCCTCTCTGCCTGAATGACCCTGTCCAGTCTCTCGATCCTAAGCCCCCTGTCCAGCCTATTTATTGAGCACATCCAACTTTCTGGGCCCAAAACTGAGCTGGTAACCCTRCTTCCCACACCACTCCCAGATCCGCACCCCTCCAGGGAGCACCTTCCTCCAGCTGCTCYACCCAGGCTGTCATGTCCTCCTAAAGTTGGTTCTTTTTCTCACTCCCACATTCTATCAACCAGCAAAACTCACTGGCTCTACTTTCAAAATATGCTGGCCATCTGGCTGCTTCTCCCCACCTCAACTGCTGGCCCCTTAGGCCTGTGCCAGCCTCCTGGCCTTTTAAATGGTTTCTGTTCTTCCCTGGGCCCCTGATGACCACTCCTCTGCAGGGTGGTGGCTAGGTAGACATGGGAGAGGGAGCAAAGTGTCTTAGACCCTCCATTGCTCCTCATTCATTCTCACTTCTGCTGAACAAGACCAGAGCTTCACCCAGGCTCAAGGGCCCTCACACTATGCCCTCCGCCCAAGGCTGAGGACCTGCCCCAGTCTTCCCCCCAGGGCCCCTCTCCCCTCCAAGCTGATTTATTGGGTACATTCTACCACACCAGACATGGATGGAAATGGATCATGCATGATTTTTCTGCCCTTATCCCCCCTGCAAAAGAATGAGGGCAGGGGTTTTGGTCAGTTTGGGTCACAGCTGTGTTCCCAGGGTCTAGACCAGAATCTGGTACTTCAYAGACAACAGTCTCTTCAGGGAATGCTTGAAGGAAGACCTGCATCGGGGCGGGCGGAGGGGCTCCAGGTTCCGARAGAGGCAGGGTGTACAGCGGATCTCAGACATGCCCTCCCCACCACGCCAGCCGGATGACCTCACAGCCACTCCATGAGGGGGTGCATTCCCCAAAGGCCTGCTGGATGGGCAAGGTGCTGACTGCCCCCTCCTTCCTGTGCTCTCAGACCCTCCTCACTGTAGACCCTCCCTCTGACCAGGACAACATCCGGGCCACTCTGCCAAGGAGGATACCACAAGGGTCTCTGCTGAGCTCCCTCTTCCTCTGGGAACCTCATCTTCCTCCAGCCACAGAGCTGCAGAGAACATGGCCGTGGAGGCTCCTGAGCCCCTGGGACATGCAGCACTGGGCTGAGCTGGCCCACCCAAGTGAGGCACTTCATCCTCAGGACAAATGGGTGGGCCGACATCAGCCAACGCCAGGTGGAGCTAGGACTTGACCCCRGGCAGCCTGAGCCACAGCCCACCACCCAACCACATCGAACTCGCCCCCAGGAACCAAGTCACACTGTGCAGTGACAGGGAAAGGGTCAAGGTGGCTCCATAAGCAAGCAGGCAGGGAGAGGCTGGTTCTGACCTCTGGGCCATGTGGGAAGGTCATCCTTCAGCAGTSCCCAGCTTCCACTGTATCACCTGGGAACCAGGGCTTCCCTGTGTGGTTTCCTGTTTTACACCCTGGGTTTTTCTCCTCTGCTCAGCTCCATCCTATTGGCCCTTCAAGTCCTGGCTCAGGCACCACTTCCATGACCTCCCCCACTCCCATGTCCTTTCCCGTCCCTTCCTGCTATGAACATGGTGTCTGTAGACACCTGGCCCTRTGCAGCAGAGCAAAAGGGCCAGTCGCTGTCCTCCCAGGTCCCTGACCCCTCCCAGATCCCAGACTAATGGAAAATGGAGTCCTCAAATGTCACTGAAGGCCGGCAGGGGTGTGAGACCCAGGCTTAAAGGAGGCCTGGGCTGAGCAGCAAGGGCCTGAGATGCTGATGGCAGCCCTGTGGGCTGGCTGTGAGTGAGAACGGCATTGACCTTAGTGGAGCACTCAGCTTTGAGAGGATGGACCTTGGACCCATCTGTGAGTGAACTTGGAAACCACCCGGAGCGGGTGGCGCACCAGGCTGGCCTGCCCTGCACATGGGCCACGGTGCAGTGCCAGTGGTCGGCCAGGGCTGACATGCTCACCCACACTGTCGGGGGCATCGATGGAGCACTCACGACATGCCAGACCAGTGAGCTCTGGAGTTTACAAAGATAGAGGATTCAGCCCAGCCCACCCAGGGGTCCCAGGGGCATCCTCCTGGAGAGGCAGGAAGAGCTCCCAGCTCCCAGCCCCGCCTCTCAGCACTCTCTTCCAGAGTGGGCAGCCACAGAGGCTGTGGCCTGGTGCAGCTGGGCCCTTTACCTTTTCAGACTCGTCTCATACTCAGTCCTCTGCCGGTTCAGCTCTGCCCTGAGCTCAGCCACCAGGCCCTGGAGAGCCTGGCAGTGGCGGGAGTGGTCCTGGGTCGGGCTGCCTGGGTCCTGGGGTTCACCGCTGTCGCCGCTGCCACCTACACCCGCCTCATCCAGACTGTGGCCCAGGTCCAGGGACCTGTGGTCCTCACTGCTGCTGGGGAGCGGCGAGGGCTCAAGGGCCCATTCGGTGTGCAGGGAGCTGCAGGTGGATGAGTCACTAGCCCGGCAGGCCGTGCAGCTGCTGAGGGAGGCTTCCCGGGAGGACAAGGTGCTGGTCACGCTGACAGTGCTGGGAAAGAGGCTGGGTGGGGGCACATTGTCATAGGTGGAGAGTCTTTGTGTGGAACCTGAGTTCTTGAGCCGGTCTCCCGATGAGGCCCGGCGGTGACCTCGCAGAGAAGACAACCCRTTCATGAGCCAGTTCCCGCCAGAGGAGATGATGGGCACTTCTAGAGACGAGCTGCCCGCCTTTGGGCTCCCTGACCGGGAGCCTGGCTGCCGGAAGGAAGACTTCCAGTTGGGCAGAGTCTGTACCCTCTTCCCAGGGCTGGTGGCTGCAGGGCCACCTTGGCTGCCGAGGCTCGGAGGGGAGGTTCTAGAAAGCATTGCTGCAGCTGGTCCGTCCAAAGATGAGGTCCTGTGGGTGGGCAGGCTGGAGCCACCAGGCTCCCCTGGGCTGTCGCTGGGGATCTCCTCAGAGCCCCACCCCACTGTGCACTGTGGGACCCTACCAGGGGAGGCAGGTCCTTCTGGGGCAGGCGTGGTGAAGAGCTGGCTGTGTTTGCGGATGAGGACAGTCATCAGGTGCTGGACTAGGGAAGTACCTGCCACGGAGAGAGAAGAAAAAGGCTTTGCTATTAGCGTCCCCAGCCAAGCAGGGTACCTGTCCCCTGAGAAGCCTTCACCTGAGGCTGGTGTCAAGGACCATCCCATGCCCTCTGGATCCAGGCATGGGCAGAAGAATTGTGCCTAAGAATCTCCTTCCCTGGAYGCAGAGCTTGAGCAGGGAGGAAACAGGGACGATTTCCATCAGGGTAGGAACAGGAGGCAGGCTGAAACGGAAAACCTGAACCTGGCACAGCAGAGCCCTRTTGGCTGTCCTGTGTCTCTTTCCTACGCTGCTGATGCTGGCTGTGCCTGACTGTCCACCCTCTGGGGGCAGAGGACCCTGGCACAGGAATGGAGCTGTCTTACATGGGTGTGGGCATGCACTCAGTATCTTCCACACAATCCCATGGGCACACAACAATCTGACCAAGTGCCCTGTGACACAATTCTGGGGACACAGTTCCTAGGGTGGTGAGGCTGGTGTCAAAAGTAGGCTTTTGGGAAGGACCATGACAGCTATCCAGCAGCCTAGCTCACTCTTATTACCCACAACCCCACAGAGACCACCCTGGGAAGTCTGCCAGGAGATAAGGAAGGTCAAAGGCTTAGATGGACCCTCTGACTGAGGTGACTAAAAATCCAGGAAAGAACTACATCAGGAACTCTTTGGTCAGAACACAGAGACTAATCCACAAAGTTACAACTATCTTATATTTGATAAAGGGGCTAAAAGCATGCAATGGAGGAAGGATAGCATCTTCAACAAATGGTG